TATTTTCGTCAAAAACTCCCTGTGGTGCCTAAATGGTTAAAGATAGAGCCAAACGGACGAAATTTTCGCGCACAGGGCTCTTCTTCGATGAGTAATACCCCTTAGAAAACAATAAAAAAATATTTTTAAAAAAACATTATTTGTGGGACCCGTTGTTTTTGATTTTTTAAACATCCAATTTTTGAGCTAGAATGCTTATCTTCGAACTCGACCTGTCTTTATATAGTACAAAACGACCCTGAAAATCCCAGGTCGCTAGCTCAATTCGTTTTCGAGTTATCGTGCGGACAGACACACACACAGACAGACAGAAAAAGTATTTTCCGACCAGACGGAGTAATAGGCTTCGCTAATCGCTCAGCCAATCAAACATGGTAAGATGTCATTATTTTCATTTGCCACCTTACGCTACAAATATTTTCCCGTTGAGCACTATTTTATTTTCAATTTCATGCGATTTGGTTGCTCAATCTTCCTTTCATAACCTCACTAAAGTTTTGAAGTGGTCCTCCTCACCTCATTCATCTTCATTCTGTCTTTGAACCTAAGTTTACTGCAGTATACTTCCACGATTATATATTGCTGTCTTTGTTTCTGTAGGGTGACAATGACAATGGAGGATATGACCCTTATGCCGAAAATAAAGACATTGAGTATGCCAGGCCTAGGCCAATCAATACTTTGACGCCCGGTAAAGCCTACTCCGTTTCAAAACTGTTCAAAATGAGGTCTCAGTATCCGGACCCTGACAGAACTTACCCCATGAACACCTTAGCTTATGATGCCGGGATGAAATTTCAGAGCATATTGCCTAGAAAATTTAACAAGTTTCAACAGTGGCTGGATGCCATGAACAAACCGATCAACAACAAAGTTGGACCAAAAGTTGTGTTTTATGGGACTATGTCCTTGAGCTATGAGGTCGAGCTACTACGACAAACCCAAGGTATGTATATTCATATCATCACTCTATACATTAATTTCTTTAGTACACTGTAATACAACATGTTTCATTTTTTTTGCAGAACCCTGCCCTGAAAAACTTGAAATAGTCCAGAGGATTATGATGCAAACTACGCCCAAAAAGGGAGATTCTCAAATGGGCACTGCATCTCCAAACAAACGTTCCCACGTCTTTGATGAACAATCTCCATCCAAACGTAAATAATTCCAATTGAATAATTTTTCACAAATTGCATGTCAATCAGGCATCATGAAATCACTCGGTTCTATATTTAGCTGGTTTGGTTTGAGACATGCATATTCTCAGACCTAAACAAGCTTAAATGAAAGACCTAATGATTTCAATGACATCTTTGGTTCTGTTACCATTTAGACTGTATTCACCCTTTTTGTTAATACAATCCCTTTCCTTAAATTTTCACACTGCCTTATTTTATTTAATTTTTTAAATGTTTTGACTCCAACTACTACCACAACAAATTTCTCTCAAAATTACTTTAGCTGGCTTAACTTTCACTAATTGCCGAATTTGGATTGCACTAACCAATTAATGCTGTGATTGTAGGTCATCAGGTCTTAAGGAACTGACTGATTTCATTGTACCTGATTTATTTCGTTAGTGTTCTATTCAGTATTATATTTTCTATCACGTAATTTTTCTACTTCGTGTTAATCATTCCTTTTGAAATTCATTTATGTGATACTTAACCATTTTATACTCCGTGTTAATCGTTCATTTTGAAATTCATTTATGTGATACTTAACCATTAAATCACATAACCTCGATGTTTCATTGCATTTAAAATGTGTTCTTAGATTATTCATTTCTTGTTAATAAAGAAAACATAAATCGTTCTTAAACAGAACACCTGACCCTGACCTTCACAATTAGAAAGAGAAAACACATCTAAAAAATTCAACACTAATCAATTCAAAATTATTATTCTTTAAATCAATTTTCTTTATTTGGTAACAATCACAAAAAAGGACAGAATCATGACACAGCTTTTCAAAATATGTCCCTATACTCTAGCAATGATTTTCTAGACACAATTATCTGTACACTATTGTGGCCGGTTAAACACCCCCTCGACTTTGACATCAGTCTGAATAACTAGCTATATGTACGCCAGACCACGTCTCGCGTAACAGGCTTCGCGATATCTCACGAAACACTGTTACGCCAGGAGAGTTATAGTTAGGGAGGCCTTACTGAGCCCCGGCCTTCGTCGAGGGTCGAGGCATACAGACCACCGCCTTCTCCGAGGCAACTGCACAGTGGAGGTGGGGTGGTGGAGGCGGGTGGGGTAGGAGCGCGGTTGAATCGCAAGGTGCGGCTCGGCATGGCTCGGCTCGGCGCGGGGATAACGGTACAGGTTCATTGAAGAGACAATGCATGAAACAGGTACAAACATGCCCATGCCCATCCCATTCTGCTGTGAGCACGCGCGAGGAGAGGAGGAGGACGATCGGTGAAGTGAGAACCCGGAGCTAGTTTTTCTCAAAAAATGGAACACTGCGGGGAACAGAGTTTTGATGACTCGTTCCTGTTAACGGACCCAGATGGGAACCTGCTAAATTTGTCAGGGATATCCATCCTTTCACAAAGTGGCCAAATTATTCCAATTGGTCTACAGCCCATTGCACCACCAGCAAGGTGTGAGCGGGTCGACTCTGGGGTGGCTGTTCCTAGGAAAAAGCGAAAGAGGAAAAGTCAACCCAAGGTCCAGTGTCCCGAATGCGAGAATTACTATGCTCAAGGGAATCTCAGTGCTCATCTGAAGGGTCACAACTTGGGTAAGTGTTAATTTTTGCCCCTCATCTCTGTCCCTTATAGCAGGTTCAGTATGAATGAACTGCCTGTGTCTTAAACTACCCCTGTTATTGTTTTTCCCCAGCAAGGGCCCTGAAAAAGATGCCAACGGATGAGGAGATAGTAATGCAAGTTTCAAGTTTAACACCGGTCATCCTCACGTCTCTGCTGAACCAGAGTTCGAGGGAGATGTTGACCAGGAGAGAACCAGCGGCATAGCAGGAGATGTTCTTGCGGCATTCAATGACGGTAAGGAAACTTTGGTGCTATTCACCTGTTCTATTGCCATGAGCATTTGTGAAATGTTCAGGCTTAGACACAGCATAACTAGTACCAAAGACCTGAGAGAGATGTCTGAGGAACAAGTAAGTGCCATCTTCTACAGTAAGAGAGGGTACATGGATTGTCTTGTTAGCCAACTCATTGCGATTGTTGATAGGAGGAATGGTGCTCGGAAACCAATACACAATTTTCTGGTCAAATTGATCACAGGATTGTCTGAGAAAATTGGGGCTTGGATTTTGAGCCTAAGGAGGCTTCCCGTGTTCTTCAATCTGATGAGGTCATATCAAACTCTATGGCTAGTGCTTTATATTACGTCATTGGTAGTGTTGTCTCTAGTGATAAAAGATGCCGCACTTCTGAATCAAATGCACGGCTGGACACAGCACTCTTCACTCAAGGTGCAGGCACTGTGGCCAGCCATATATCCCAATTTACAATTAATCAAAATCGGGGGGGGGGGGGGGCTGCAGATAAGCAACATTCAGGTCTACAGGTTTGCAAAGGCTGTTGCCATTGTGTTAAGAAAAAATGTAAGGGAAATATT